CAACCCCTTATCATCCATAGATTAGTGGACAGGCGGCTGAATTGGTTAATCGAGAGATCAAAATGATTTTAGAAAAAAGGGTAAACTCGGACCGCAAAGATTGGTCGTTAAGACTAACTAATGCACTGTAGGCATATCCCACTGGCTTTAAAATAATTTTAGACATGTCTCCTTATCGATTAGTTTATGACAAGACTTGTCACTTATCTGTGGAATTGAAACACAGAACATACTAGATCATTAAAACCATGATCTTTGACCTAGATCTGACCTGGGTCAGGTCAATGAGTTGGAAGAGTTGAGGAATGAGGTGTATGACAATGCTAAAATTGCAAAAAAAAGAATGAAAGTTTTTCATGACAAAAAATAGTGCAAAAATCTTTTGCTCCTTCCCATAAAATCTTTTTATTCAATTCAAGGTTTCGCCTGTTTCCTGGTAAGTTGAGATCAAAATGGACTAGGACTTACATTTTAAGGAGAGTGTTTGGACGTGGAGTAGTGGAAGTGGAGGATACGTCAAATGGTAATATTTTTACTACTAATGATCAACGTTTGGAACCATTTTACGAAGAGTTTGTTAAAGATGTAGAATCCATCGATTATTGGATTATTTGAGTTCTTCGAGGATGGAAGATTGATCTATATGGTGAGAGTAGATGAGAGTAGAGGGTTTGTCGATGATTCGATTGAGTTCTTTGACAGATTGATCAATTGAATTCTTCGATCGATTGATCTCACACGAGTTCTTCAACTGATTGAGTTCTTTAAATGATTGATCGATTGAATTCTTCCATCGATCTCACACGAGTTCTTCGACGATCGACCATGATTGCACTAAGCTGCCCTAATTTGTTTGATTGAAAGATGATCCACTGTGAATGGTCATGACCTACCCTAATTTTGTAAAGGTTAGTTTTAATTTTATAATTTTGCCCCATAAAATTTTAATTAGATCTGATCATTAATTATTCATTAATATCCTTTAAAAAACAGGACTATTTAAAAATATTGAATATTTTTTGATGAAATTGAGAAAACAGATAGTTAGAGGATAAAAGTGTTATTAATCCATTGTTAAATTATGATCGGTCGCCACTAGTTACGATCAATCATAATTTATTTATTCTATTACAACTTTTTTTGTTGGTTACAATCTTTTGAGGTTATGACTTTTTGGATTTTATTACATTATTAAGTTGTTGTACGTTCCAACTTTTTTAGGTTGAGTTCTAACTTTTTTGGATTGAATTACAATTTTGTAGTGGGATTACAACTTTTTGGAGTGGATTGCAACTGTTCTGAATTGAGTTCTAACTTTTGGGTAGTGTTAAAACTTTTCTAGATTGGGTTATGATCTTTTGGGAATTGGGTTCCAACCATTTGGAGTGAATTCCAACATTTGGGGTGAGATTCCAAATTTTTTGGGTTGGTTTACAACTTTTCTGGGGTGGGTTATAATTTTCAGGATTGGGTTCCAACCTTTTGGGTGGATTGTGGAGTTATTATTTTTTTAGTTAGGGGTTATAACCTTTGGGATGGGGTTCTAACTTTTCTGGAATGTTATTGATTACGACGTATTGAGAGGGTGTTACAACTTTTTTGGGTATATTATAATTTTTGGGGTTGGGTTACAATCTTTTTGGGGTTACAACTTTTTGGGTTAGAATATATCATTTTGGGTGGTTACAACTTTTTTGGGGTTATAACTTTTTCGGTTCAAATATATATTGGTTTCACCAGTCATATAATTTTTTTAGTGAACACGTGTAATGTAAGGAAGGCGACTTACTTTTTGGTACTATATCGAAAGGTGACAGTACTGAAGGGGTTATAATCTTTGAGGTTACAAGTCTTTGGGTTAGAATACATCTTTTTGGGTGGTTACAACTTTTTTGGAGTTATAACCTTTTCGGTTCAAATATGTATTGGTTTCACTAGTTGTATAAATTTTTTAGTGAATACGTGTAATGAAGGAAGGCCACTTACTTTTCAGTACTATATCAAAAAGAAAAGAAAGTACTGAAGTGTAGTACATAATATAGTACATAATAGGGAGAGGACTAAGTAGTATATGTTAGGGGAGCTGCTAACCATTGAGGGTCAAAATTGTGAAACATAACAAAACGGTACAATTGTTCCATTATAGACCGGGTACGTACATCTCTCCTCCCCAGACTTCTTAGCGACGAGAATATCATACACTAAATTGTCCTTTTAACAAAACTATGGCGTCACATGTCTTCCATGCAAAGGCTGGTCATTGTGGATCGAACGATTTGGAGGAGAAGCAACATAGTCTTTATCCATCGGGTCCATTTCCTCTGTTTCGTCTTGAAGAAGTTCTTGGAATTCAAGTTGTGGAAAGGGATTCTTTGATTCTTTAGGAACTAAATTCGACCTTGATGAACACTCCCAGCTGCCCTGACATTATTAAGTATTGGAATCTTGGGAGCATGGTCGCTGGTTGGTATCTTGGGATATTGCAGACTAGAAAAGCTCGGTGAGTTTCCTTTCTTGTTTAAGTCATTCTGAACATAATTCTCAGACGCCAGAATTATGTGATTAACTACTAAAAGTGCTATTTTATTATATTTAATGATTGGCTAATGATATATTATTTGTGACAAAATATGTTAGTTCTTTGATTTTCCAGTTTGATACTTTTTTCTAATTGTTTGTTTTATTTTACAAGTAATTTGTTGATTTAAAATAACAATGGACAATGTAAGTGAAACAAACGCTAAAGGAAGGATCACAGTTCATAAAGAGATGTTTGATAAGGATTAAATGATCAAAATTAAAATTTAAAATTTTGAAGATATGGTAGTAATTTAATCCTTATGAGTCCAATTTAGTAGAAAACTCATTTAGATCAAGTTGAATTAAGAAAGTATTATACAAAATAAGGTTTCAACACGTCTTCATTTTTTTGTCATAACTTTTTACTTTGATATTTGATTGACCTTATTTTTATGGTGTTAGAAAGAAGATTTCAAGAGTTATAGAAGTGTATTATAAAATTTCATGAATCGACCTCTAATTATGTGAAAATCAAGCCTAACGTTTGGGCAAATACGGTACTTACGCTCCCAAGATTTGATGCACGAGTTTTGACGCACGAGTTTTGACCTAAATTTATTCTTTTTTTTGGCAAGGATTTGTTCGGAGGCCAACCTTAGCCTCTCTAGTATAAATATAGATTTATTCTTTTGAGAGGGGAGAATTGGAGATCTCATCTTCTACATCTTTCTTTATTTTTTTAAGATCTATGGATTGTTAAATTCCCAACTAAAGTTATGGAGATATTTTCAAAAAAAAAAACACGATAGTGTTTTTGATCCAATATTCTTTTAATTTAATTCATGTCTTTTAGTAAAATTTTGCTGTTTATAATTTCTTGATTCATTATGTCTTGCACATTGAATACTTGAGATTTCCTACGAGTCAAATAACTGGTTTTGTATGTTTGAATTAATTATCTAGGATTGTCATAAAATATTTGATTTCTTATTTGCTATAAAATTATAGTTTATTTGTTGGAAAGCTTGATTCTTCGTTGATTCTGGGAATAATGAATGCTTATGATCTACAAAGAGATATCTAGATTTATTCAGATAAATTATCAATATTTCTAATATTATCACCGTTAAATATTCTGATTAAGGTCACTTTTCAACTGATTCTCAATTGAGTTCGAAAATCGGACCATAAATAATAACTGTGTAGAATTGAAAATGTATCCTTAATGTTTTAGTATTTTCAATTATTATTTTAAAACCCAATTTACTATTTTTTATTCAAAATCTCTACAACAAACTTTAAATTATTTTTCTTATATTTTTCTTTGCATTCTAAGTTTACATAATTCTCAGCAGTACAATCTCAGACTTCCAAGAAAATATATTATTTCGCAACAATCTGGATGTGAGTGATTAATTTCGGTGTTTTAAAAGGAAAAAAGAGTATTGACAAAAGGAATTTCCCGCCTTCTTGGGAAATGATCAGCGAAGTATGATAGAATGATATTAGAATTGGTGATCTTTATTGTGTATATGTCACGCAGCCTATGCATTCTAATCACTTGAGATGGAAGCTTCAAGCATTGATAGCTAGCACGAATCCTGAGTGTGTGCGATGAGGTTTCCAAGCGCAGAGATATAGTGCTCTTTAAGTACCGATTATTGAAACATTCAATGAGCAAAACCATATGCACGAGACTTTGTTCACTTTTTCCTCACATGGCCTTAGACCAAATGGAGATCCAAACTCTTACTTAAATTTGAGTAAAAAAGGATAAAAAAAAACTTAATTTGTTATAAACTTTTTTTTAAATGAGGACAAACCCAAATTTAAAAAAGAGTAAATATGACCATTAGATCTTTAAATGAGGGTGTAATTTCACCGTTGATAAAAAAAAGTAAAGATTTGAGTCTCCTTTAATTTGAGTTTAATAAATAATTCTTCTTTATTTGATACGAGTATTGGTCTAATATTAGATAAGAATTTTAGAATTTTTTTATCATTTTTTAAAAAGGATAAAAGCCGGAGACATGCTCTTAGCCTTACCATCCCCCCCTCCCCCCTTCCCAAAAAAAAAAAAAACAAAACTGCTCATATTATTATTGGGTAAAGAACTATGAACACAATTCATCTAAGTTAAAAGCAAATCATTAATAGGAAATTTTAACTATTCATATTCATTGTAAAAAAGGCCTTTGCCGCCCAAAATTTAAAAAAAAAAACAAAAATTTAGTGAACGAGATTTCTATTACCATGGATTTAAAAAAAGGAGAAACTATTTTTACAACTCGATCGCGTAACACAAATGTTACAATAGAGCAACTATGTTGCACAATACATAGGACAAAATTTTTTCTCTCACATTAAATCTCTAATGCGTACATACAAGTATGATAATCCGCATATGTTTTCACTATTACATCTACAAAAAGAATATCCTCCAAAAAACTGCCCAATCACAAAGGACCTATGATCATTTCTCAGTTATTCTTTGGTGGGTGGGGTCTTGGCACATTATAATCTGCATTGAAAGCCATAAAATTGTCCATTTTGATCTTCACATTGTGAGTACTTATATCACTCAATTTACGTTGTACATTCAACTTTCCTTTCTCTTTATGGCCGCAATTTCCAGCAGAATGGGTTGCACCTGAAGACTTTGAAGCTTGTCCATTGTTCATGACTTCTTTTGTCACCATTTCTTTCCCCAAGACCCTTTTCAGCATCATTTTTCTTCCTGTAAGTTTTTCATTTCTGTCTTCTGCTTCTGTAGGAACAGCACCGAAAATTTCCTGCAACATGTTTTTTTTCTTTTCAATTAAGGCAAAGAAGCTCCTAAATTATGATATATTTCATAAGGTAAAACTTCTATAGTAATATACCGAAAGTTAGTATAAAATAAAGGATGACCCTTATTTTCTTACAAATTTTGATATGATACCGAAATTGGTGTCATTGTAGTCTTAACCTATTTCATAATATTAAGAGAACAACTGCTTATAATTAATGCTGCATTTACCTTTCCAACTATCACAGGACTCCCTTGTGCCACTGCAAACTCATGATCAGCAGCCACTACAGTTTTCTCCATAGCTACAAAAACCAAGTAGAAGTATGGGTTAAACTTTCAGGTAAACATCTAATTATGTACAAGTATGTATTGAAGGAAAAGAAATCTACCTTGGTGACTATATGCAACAGAGCCCTTCAGGCTCAGTGAGACGAACATAAGTGTAAAGACAAAGCTACTAAACCTTTTGAAAACCATTTGTGCTTTCTTTTCTTCTTTGGGTATGTCAAAACAGAAGAGGCTCTTTATAGAGAGTCCAAAGTCCAAACCCAAGTCAAAGCAATGGTTCCGAGAAAACTTTTGGTCACTGGGCACATGCAGTTTCTTGGGAAAACTCAAAAATTTGATAAGCAGAGAGAGAGAGAGAGAGTTAAAAAGTTGAAGGTGGTTCTCTGCCTTTCTGGGTTGGATCACAATGTTAGGTAAAAGGCCAATGGTGGCGTGGAATGGAAGATACGGGTGTTTTGAGCCTGTCTGCCGCCATGCATGCAACAAGGAGAGTTTGTCTAGATGGCCAATATTGGGTAGACAAAAATCTAAGGGTTCAATATGTTGTATGGAGGGACTCCAGTCCCCGTATAAATTAATATATACTAGCGTCATTACTGTAGTAATATCATGAGGTGAAACAAGTAAAAGTGAGTGGAGAGTGGAGACAGAAGAGGTTCAAAGCTGTCCAAGTTACTTTGGCACACTTTCTTATACTAATGCAGGCCTCCTTTGCTATTTTGTAGCTTAGAATAGGTTTTTATTAAAGGTGTGAAGAGTGAGTTTTAATTTCATGGACTCTTTTAGTTGAAAGTCTTAAGGTAAACATCCTCTGCTGTTCAGCAAAAAAGTTGTTCCCAAAACGACATAACCGTTTCGTTTTTTGTATCCAATACGATTTTGTTTTTAAGAAGAGCGTGGTGCTGAACAGTAGAAAATCTTTACCCGAAGTCTTTAGGTTGGCTTGTGCTTGGTTGGGGCTTTGACCAGAAGAAATACTGTGGCACTTTCTAAACATGAACGAAAGAAAATGTCACATGAAGTTTTGAAATTAACCGACCACATTAAGAATGCCTTTAGAGGAGGTTGTTTGATATCCAAAAATTAATCAACAATAGCTGGACAAGGGAAGAATGTTGGGGTGAATCAAAAAACTTTGGGCAGATTCGGATGTAAGTATTGACAAGCGCATGCATGTTGAGTCCTTTCTTATAAAATGATATAAACTCTTCTTCTTTTTTTAGTTCAACAGTGAGATATGTTCGAACTAACTTACATGCACCTGGATTAATCTTCTCTTAGATTCAGTTAAAGACAGACCATCCACGCCAACACTAGAGTATTCATGAGGGATAAATCTCTCACGACTTGACGTTAAAAGATTACTAAGATTCGAATTCAAGACGTTTGAATTTATAGTTCGTCTCTGTTACCACTTGAGCTATGCTTAGAGTTTACACATTCTTCTGATTGAACAAAAAAAAAATCGTTCCTATTACCAGTTGAGTTACTCTTGGAGATATGTTTTTTTTTTTTTATTTTATGGGTTCTTCTAATTGAACCCAAAAAATTAAAAATTAAAATTTTCAATCCTTTGCAAGGGAGTCAAATTTTGAAACATAAAAGCTACTTCCAGCAACCTACATAATTGTAGTTTCATGACCAGCAAAATAGTGTTTGCTTGATGAGTCAACCAGCATTTCAAGGGAAATGCATTTATATGCAACCAAGAATTACAGCATTTTCATACCTAAAGTCAATTAGTTCACTAAATTACATGAGATTTTTCATCCTTGGCTTTCACATCTCCAAATAGTCAATGACATTCACCTAACTCTTTGGTTTCATTAACAAAATGAATCTTAGAGATAGCAAGACAAAAGATATTGTCTAAAGTACTTGTCACCCGTATTGCACAGCAAGTGTACTCTTCGTTTAATATGATTAAAATATAAGTAAATAAATTTAGTGGTTAATAGATTAAAATGTAAATCGTGCGATAAGTGAAAAACCTTAAAAAATTATGTGGAAGCAGTGAAATTAGTCAAAAATAGATATGCTGCTTGTCAAGAGGAAAAAGACACTGGTTAGTAGATATAAAATTTAGCTGAAACCAACCCCCCACCCCGCCCCCCCCCCCCCCCCCCCACA